CCTGTCTCTGGTGGCACCCGAGTGCTGCCAGCTCCAGAACACTTCCCGAGGCTGGATCTGGCCCCATGAGCTCCTGCATCTCCTCTGCTGCTGATGGTGCCACCCTGGCTGAGGCATCAAAAGGCAGCAGGTGCCCCAGGGGTCCCTGTTTGCCGTGCCAAGCCAGGGGCTTGTGCTGCCCGACCTCTGGGCATTTTCCTCTGTGGGTGCCCAGGGAGAAGGGCGATGGGCACGAGCTGTCCCCTCCGTCCTTCTGCAGCCACCCCAGCTGGTGGCAGTGCCCGAGGGCTCAGGACTGGGCTCGGGGTGAGGTCAGGCTGCAGCCAAGCCCAGCCCTGTGCCAGCAGACGTGGCCTGGCTCCCCGCGAGCCGGGCGGCAGGAAGGGCAGCGGACAGGAGCAGGGAGCAGTGCCAGGCAGGCCTGGAAGCAGGTTCAGCAACAAGAGATTTATCCTGGAAGGAGGAAATGGGGAAAGAAAAAAAAAAAAAACAACAACAAACCAACCCTTCCAGATTTGCTATTCCAAAGTCCAGGAGTGCAGCGTGACCGGCTGAGCCCATGCTCAGCGCCCTGGGCGAGGGGATTTTTTGCCTTCTGTGAAATTAAAAACTAATTCTACTCTTGGAGAGAAAGTGGGTGGCCAATCTCCACCCCCTCCTGCAGCCCAGAGGTTTCAGGCCTGGAGAGGTGATGTATTTTTTTTCCCATTCCCTTCTTTCTGTCCAGCATCTCCTGTGTCTGTGAGCTGGGGCTGAGGTGTCTCATCCCTTTTCTCTTGCCCACAGGCAGCACCCTGGTGAAGGGAAGTCACCGTGCCCCACATGGAGCCTATAGAGCAGTTTCCAGCCAGGAAAACAGATTTTTGGGCTGTTTTGGGAAGCGAAGAACATTTAGAGGAGAGTTTAATATTGGTTTTGTTCTGCAGGGCTCTGGCTGTGTTCATGTGGAGTCAGAGCTGCCTTATAGGAGCAGCAACTCCGCCGACTGAGCTCTGAGATTCCCCAAGAAGGTCAGGCAGGGAGCAAGGGAGGGGAGGAAATTCCTCCTTTGCTCATGTTGGGGAGTTATATTTAGCCCTGGGGATGTCAGCCTTGCTCAGCCCTCACCCTGGGCTGAAGAAGAGCGGGATCCAGCAGGGCACGGGGAGGGCTGGCAGCAGCAGAGATGGGGCACTGGAACCCTGGGGCTGTTTGAGAGGTTGTGGAGTCTTCTCTGGAGAGATTCCAAACCCACCTGGCTGTGACCCTGGGCACCCTGCTGTGGGTGAGCTGCTGGAGCAGGGGGGTTGGAGGAGATGATCTCCAGAGGTCCCTTCCCACCCCACCCTGCTGGGGTTCTGTTTGCTGGTGGGATGGGAAGCACTGATCCTGATCCTGCTGCCTGCAAAGCATCTGGCAGTGCTGCTCTGTGGTGAGGAAGGATTTCTTCCTCTTCCTTCCATCTGCTTCCCTGCTCTGTCCTCTGTCAAAGCATCCAAGAGCAGGAACAATCCTGCCCTGCCCCAGGGCTGCTCCTGCCAGGCTGGATGATGCCCTGGGGGGTGCTGGTGCAACTGTTTCCCCAGGGAAAAGAGGCTGAGCTGTGAAACATCTTTGACTCAAGGCCACATGAGCTCTCCTGGGGTGTCTTGTCACCCACTCAGGTCACAGCCCATCTCACACAGGGCTGCGTGGCTCTGCCCTGTCACCACCGTGGCTCTGTCCCCGTGTCACCAGCATCTCCCTCCCTCTCTCCCCAGGTATGCTGGAGGATGGGAAGAAGTTTGATTCCTCCCGCGACAGGAACAAGCCGTTCAAGTTCGTGATGGGCAAGCAGGAGGTGATCCGTGGCTGGGAGGAAGGAGTCGCCCAGGTGCCCGCTGCTCCCCGAGGCCCCTTCCCGGGCAGGCATGGCCCCCTGCCACCCCTCCCCCAGTTGATTATCCACATTTTGTA